GAAGGCCTACGACTCAATGGATTGGGATTTTCTATTAAAAGTGTTTAGAAAATGTGGATTGGGGGATAGATGGTGCAAGTGGGTGAGTGGATGCATAACCTCTTGTCAATTTTCAGTTCTAGTTAATGGAGGGGTCAAAGATTTTTCCAGCATGTAAAGGGCTCAGGCAAGGAGATCCTCCTTCACCCTTTTTGTTCACACTTGTGGTAGATGTGTTCAGTAGAATGATTTCTAAAGCAGATAGGGAAGGGCTGATTAGTGGTTGGGGGATAGGCAAGAATAATATCCCAGTGACTCATCTTCACTTCTTCAGTTTGTTGATGATATTATCATTTTGTGAAGGGGGAGACTTGGGGAGAGTGAGGAACCTAAAAGATCTTATTAAATCCTTTGAGTCTGCTTCAAACCTGACAATTAACTTTGACAAAAGTTGTGTCATTGGAATCAATTTGGAAGTTTGGGAGGTAGAGGTTGTAGCAGGTTGTCTAGAGTGTTCCACGTCTGATTGGCTTCTTGAAAAAGTTCGAAAAGAGGTTGGCTTCTTGGAAGAAAAGTTACCTTTCGTTAGGGGGTAAAGTGACCTTGATTAGGGTGACACTTGCCAGTCTTCCGGTTTACTTTCTTTCGGTGTTCAGGATACCCTCAAGGGAAGCTAAGAAGCTAGAAAAGGTGATGAGGGACTTCTTGTGGGAGCCAAGGGAAGAGAAGAAGGATTAATTGATTAGGTGGGAGATAGTCAGCAGAAGTAAGGAAGAAGGGGGATTAGGATTAGGTAACCTAGTTCTTAAGAATGAAGCTCTACTAGGGAAATGGCTTTGGAAATAGCCGTTGGAGAGAGAGAGGTTGTGGCACAAGGTGGTGAATAGTATTCATGGTTGTTCGTAGAACGGTTGGGATACCAAGGTATCTCGACAGGCAACTCTTGCAACACCCTGGAAGGCTATACACGGAATTCTTCCCCATTTTCTCAATTTGGCCAGGTATGATGTTAATTCTGGAAACAATGTTCTTTTTTGGGAAGACATTTGGATAGGCAACCAACCTCTGGAAGACCTTTTTCCCTCTCTTTACACTCTTTCCCTTTATAAGAAAGAGTCGGTTTCCAGTTTTATTTCCTCCCCAACTTCTTTTGTGGCCCTAAACTGGGATTTTGGTTTCCATAGAGGGTTACATGATGATCAAAGTGCTTGTGTTTCAGAACTATTGTCTTCACTCGAGTCTATTTGTTTAGATCCCCTCAACAAGAATTTGGACCCCTAACCCGAAAGGCTTTTTCACTTGCTCCTCTTCTACACTCGAATCTATGTGTTTCAGAACTTGACACAAGAATTTGGACCCCTAACCCGAAAGGCTTTTTCACTTGCTCCTCTTCTACACCCCAGAATTTCCTAGTTAAAAAATTCTGGGCTAGACTCGTTCCCCCAAAGATTGTTGTTTTTTGTTGGGAAGTTTATTATGGTAAGATTAATACCTTTGAAAAACCTGCAAAAGAGGAGACCAAAATGGAGCTTCTCCCCTAATCGGTGTGTTCTTTGTAAATCTCAAAATGAGGACGGTCACCACTTACTGATCTCTTGCTTTTTTGCTACAGCTTTATGGAATTGGAGTTTTATGTTGTTTGAGTGTAGATGGAACCTGCCATCTGATACTAGCTTGTTGTTTAGTCCATCTATTTTTGAATGGCACACAAAGAGAGGGAGAATTACGTGGAAGTGCATAAGAGCAGCTTTGTTGTGGACAGTTTGGGAAGAAAGGAACGCCAGAATTTTTTGTGAAAAAGAAATGAGCTTTTCGGAAGTTAAAGAATGTATTCTGAAAGGGCAATTCAGTGGCTGAAAACTCTAAATCTCTTTGATGCATTCTCTTTCGATGACCTATGGAGAAGCAGGTTAGCAGTGACTAATACTTCTACCAGGAAGGACAGACATGTGGTTGAATGGATGCCACCAGGGGAGGAGTTTATTAAGCTGAACTTTGATGGAAGTAGTCGAGGTAATCCAGGACCTTCTAGCATAGGAGGAGTGCTGAGAAATAAAGACAGTAGCATTATATCTTTGCACTCAGGTCCTACGGGTGCGGGAGACTCTTTAAGGGCCGAATTACTTGCTGCTGTACAAGGAATCCAGCTCGCAAATCAGCTAGGCATAGAGCATCTGATTATCGAATGGGACTCCCAGGTGATAGTGGGTTGGTTGAAGGATCTGGACTCTGTGATCTGGGGTTTTAGAGATCTTCTCAAAAAGGTAAAATGGCTAACAAGGAATATGACAATCAGAGTTCAGTCGGTAAGCAGATCAGCAAACTCAATGGTTGATTCACTTGCAAAACAAGGGATTCTTTGGGCTACTTTATTTTGGGCTTCTGTGTAATTTCTTTTGTACTTGTAATTCTGTAACTAGTCTTAAAGGAAAGGTCACACCTCGTGCCTTTCCATGGGTTGCATGTAACTCTTATTTGCTGATTTAATAAAATCTTACTCATTTATCAATAAAAAAGAACTTAAAGGTAAGCTGGAGTATGCCAGCCTTGGTTAGAACATGCTTGGAGGCTTGGCACATATCTGGAATGACAAAGAAGGGGAAATTATGCTGGTCCTCAATTCCTTTGGCTATTTTGTGGGCAGATTGGGCTGAAAGGAACAGCAGGACTTTTGATCAGAAAGCCTCCTCGGAAGCTGAGGTCTATACACAGGTTTTAAAGAGGATACAACTGATTGTACTTTTTTGAGAATGGCCTTTTTCTGAGGTCCTTTTGTTGCAGTTTTTGTACAGTTTCTCGTTGTACAAAGGACCAGTTGATTAATACAAGTATACTTTACGTTTTCTCAAAAATATATAAAGGTCCCCCGGTTTTCTTCCAATTTTCATTATATTTTATGTCTAAAGGGTAAATTTCATAGACAGTATATAAGATAATTATTGTTAAAAAACTTGCTTTGTCAACGTATAAACAGTTTATTATTTGCTTTCATTGTTATTAAGGTTATATAATATCAAAAATGAAGTACTAAGTTGTTATTATCATAGAATATCAAGTTTAATTGGGTCAGACCCTATTATCATGATTAAGAATTGGTTTGGTTCTGCTGATCCAAAAAAAAAAAGTTTGGTTCTGGGTCTACCTTATAGAACTGATTAATAATCAGTTAAGGACTGGTCCACCTTGCCCAGAACCATATCCAACCCATTGACAACTCTACTGACAGTTTTTTATAGAAAAAGGAATAGCAGTATTTTGAAGATACATTTAACTCGGCATTTTTCTTGTGGGAGGGTGAACATAGTAGTATAGTTGGTGTTCTTTGGCTTTGCTGTTAAGAATTCAGAGTGAATTGGGAATCGAGACTTCCATCCAAATTCAGAAGATGTAACTAAAACAATGAAGCATCACTGGTAATAGGAACATTGGTCCATCAATGGTTCTGAGCCCCCCAATCAAGACCAAATATTGAATATGTCACAAATAGGAAAAATCAGATAGTTTCAACTTTCAACCATCTAACCTAAGGATTGCTTGCAGAGCATCTATTTGACTTACAGAGAAACTTTTCTGAGTTTTCTCTGCCATCCAGGTAATTGTATTAAAATCAGATGGTTCTCTAAATGCTGATTTTGTCCCAGCTATTCTACGGTAGAAACCGTATAGATGTTTGGACCCTCTTGTTTTCTTTCTTAACAAACATTTGGCTTGGGAGCAGGTTTACTTAGTCCCATCACTTAGGTTATGTTTGGTTTGAAGGAAAAGGTAGGGAAAGGAAGGGGAAGGAATGAAAACCTATACAAAGTTTGTAAAGGTTTCCTTGCCTTTCCCTTCCTTTCCCCACTTTTTCCTTCAAACCAAACATAGCCTTAGTGAAATCTAAGCCACCCAGGAAACTTTCATGTGGCAAGTTAGATTAGAGCTCAAAAGGAGTCTCCCTCCCCCACAAGTTCCTCTCCCCAGACATGGTTCATTGAAAAATTTTTGAGCCCAAAAGAGAAACACTGTTTTATGAATATATTTTAAGATTGGACAGCAACTGATGGTAGGGAGAAACTCCAATACAAGTCTGAGTATCAAGGCAAGATTAAATACATGACCAATCCAGTGGGTCCACCATTTCACAGACTATCTGGATCTGCAAGAAGATCCCTCTACATGGCAGAAAAGGGTATGTCATGTAAGGAAGCTCTAATGTAAACCCATTAGGGAACCTTTTTCATATACATAATATAAACACAGAATGAAATTCCTTGTCTATGTATCATACACTGAATAACTCCAGATAATGTTATAAATAAATGAAAAATGTTTAATTTCCAACCTAGAGATTTGTATTAGGAAAAGATTTTTTTTAATTCATATTGCATAACACGAGAGAAGTGGCCATTACTTGGTGTAATGGTAAAATCTCGGGCTCACATGCATGCGAACGAGGGTTAAGGAGAGGGCAACCACCTTGTGCAAAAAAAGAAAATGCCAAAGGTTGAGACCATTCCCAATCCACCCCTCCCAAGACCCCAAATAGCAGGGACCAACATTGCGTAATGGCCTTTTTTTATTGCATGTTATGTCAAACAGAAAAGGGAAAGCGAAATAGGATGCCTATCATGCAGCACCAGAAATCAACATGTCCAAATATCTCTTCTATTCCATACTATGTATTATTTTTTTCTTTTTTGGACATCATATTTAGCTACTCTCAATCCATTTATCAGTTCAAATTGCTAATTTTGTGATCTGTAAATCTCTCTCCGTAAGCAATCAGCATTTGATTGATTAAAACTTCAAATAAAATGGAAGAGATAGTTTCAGAAATATATAAATATCAGAATCTCCTAATTAATCAGTATTGGATTATATTAAAAATATTTGTATCTAATATAAATGAACTTACGAAAAACCTCAAAAAGGAGATGTTACTGATCAAAAACAAACAAGCAATGAGGTTACTTATTTAAGCAGTTTTAAGCTCAAGAAAATTTGTTTGCATAAAGAAATATAGAAAGATTGTAACATACCATCAAGGATAGCCTTTTTTGCAGATTTTACGTCCATCTGCCATTTCCATGATTCATGAAACAGTATAAATGAATAATGAAATTAGGAATGCACATGCATGACAAAATTGTTTTAAGGCTAAATTGCAGACACAAACATCAATAAACAAAGGATCACTTAATGAAGAACTGCTCAAAAGTGGAAGTGCAGCACAAAAAGAATAAAACATAATTAGAGTTACAAGTACTGTAAGCAATAATCAACAGTTTTTTTATCAGTAAGCAATAATCAGCGGTTAAATGTATGAAACAAAAAGTATCAGGACAACCGGAGGGGGAAACTAGTCAACAAACCAACACTTAATTCTTGTAAACAAGAAAGAGGTAGATAAAGGAAATATAGAGAAACAGTGTTCTAAAAGAAATAACAACAAAACCCCAATACCCCATGAAATGCAACAGACCTAGCCACTCTGAATATGAAACAGTCAATTGGCCCATTCAAAATAGCAGTAACCCAATGACATGCAATAGAGCTAGTCACTCATGAAGCTACAGTATTCAATTAACCCATCCAACATTATCAGATTGGAGGTGCCTCCAGTACACGCAACAAAAGCAAGGTATTATTAACTTAATGGGGACCCGTGGAAGTTGGTAACTCTGTGAGTTATTAGTTTCTCTTCTTTCTCCAAAGTCTTGGATTCTCATTTTCCATGGACTTTGTTATCAGTAACTGAAATTTTCTATTAAATGTATCGGTCTATCAGAACAGTACAAATAGCTCATTTTCCATGGATTATGAGAGCATTATCATCAAAGGGACTCTCAAAATTATATTGGATGGATCTTTGGGTCCTTGGAGGCCTATCACCCTTTAGAGAAGTGAATCTTTTGGTTTCTATGATGAACCTCTTACTCTATTGGTTCCCAAGATCTGCCAACTCAGTTGCTGATAATCTTGCAAAACAGAGTATGAAGAACCTATGAGTAAAATTTATCACAAACAGATTCATTTCTAATGCTAAAATTGCTATCAGAATCTTCTAACCATTTCCTCACTATGGTAAGAGAACCTCTAAGTTCCAGAGTTCTCAAAATCCTTGGTAAATTGCAAGTTGTCTATATATTTTTTGTGACCCACCAAATGTCGTTCTGTGTCATTTCCACCCAATTTTCAATTCCAATCATCTCCATCAGCACCATCACCCCTTCAAGTAAGCCAGATTCAAGCAATCTCAATAACAAGAAAGATTGACATGTAATATATTCCTCCCTTTGGCATACAAACAGAAACTATAGTTAAAGTCAATGAAAACATATAAAGAGATAATACCAATAAAAAGTTGATAAAATGGTGAAAGACAATTTGGTACAACACACAAACCTAGGGATGTATTTTCCACCTGTATTGGGATTGATTGTTATTCTCAATAGGGAACTCCTGGTATATAATTCTTTTTATTGACAAACAGCAGAACACTAATTTTTTCTCTTGATATTTTCCAATTTTGCAGGTACACTGTTTAGCCTAGACTAAGAACGCCATCTAGTTTATAAACTTCTTAAAAACTAGAAAGTATTAAGAAATTTGATTTTCAGAAACTTCATGTAATTTCGGTTCCTAATTCTGCAAGATGTCCAATCTTTTTTTATCAGTAATGTCTGATTTTTGACAATGGAACTCAGTTTCATATTTCCTAAATGTTTTTTATGGATTTGTATTTCCTAAATGTGTACATCCTGCAAGTATAGTCAAAATCAATTTACTTTTATTGCTAATAGAAACTTTTATTAATTGGGGATGAAAAATCAGTTACATATAAGCAAGACCAAATTGAGGCAACAATTGTTGTTTAGTAATTTTTTTCATGCAGATCGTATGCTTCAACTAATATGCTAAACAAGTTATTGGAGTTCTCAACTGCAGCAAGGTAATATAAACAAGGAACAACAAAGAAATACCATGAAAGAAATTTTATTTTTTGCAAGTATTGAGGTTTAGACTCTTGGATCAGAAACTTAGTAGTGGAATGGGGCTCCAAAACAATGATATGCTGGATAGGGAGTTACAATCAAGGGCCCTGGCAATGCCAGAAAGTAATGAAAGAGATTAATCGATAGTCAAGAGAGCTGGAAGTAACTTTCAAATGGATAATGGATACAAAGAACAGCCAACAGCATGGCTGACTCATTATAAAAACTTGAGGTCAACAGGGCACAATTGTATTGAGGAACTGTACCTCAATGATGTATGCAAACTGACAATTGAAGGTTGGGTAGCAGCAACTAGCCCAACAAATAGGGACATGCTTGTTGGTATGCATATCATTCCTTCTTCAATATTAATAAAATTCCATATCAATCAAATAAAATAGTAATTTTACTTTTATTTGGAAATTACTTGTCAATTTCAGAAAACATTAAGAAAATTGGACCAGGCAAACACACCAACTCACGTGGTAACCCCGCTGAAAGAACATTTTTATGCAGATGATTCTGTGCATACTCAGCAGCCAAACGACCTCCATGTCCATCATAAATTGCAAAATGTGCACATCTGTCGATAAATACAGATAAATCCAGAGGATAAATTACAAGATTGAATTCAGAATGCAAAAAACAGAGGCTGTTGTTGAAATCATCTAGAGTAACACAAAGCTATGACAGCTACAGGGAGCTCATTCCAGTGTCTTATACAGATTGATCATTTCAACAGACTTGTTACCACATATTCAACTAAACTCAACTAAGCTTTGCCCCAACCATATTAGGTCAGCTACAAGAATCCTGTTCTGTCATTCCATCATGCACAAAAATGACAATTCAGGATCCATGTTCATAAGAGTCTAGCAAAAAAGTTTTAATGTGGCTGCCAACCTGACACAACCCTCCTTTATTCCAGCTTGTGACTGTCAGGATAAGACAAGCACGACACAGACTTGTTACCACATCCAACTAAGGGGCTGTTTAATAACAGTAACTGAACTAAGTAATTCATTGCTTTGTCTTTTAGAGGGCAAAATAACTAAATAATAAAATATTCAAATGGTATGACAGTCAAACAACTTCAGATTCAGCCGTTAAGGAGATTACAGCCTCATTAATGAGTTGTTCAATAAAAGACAAAACAATGGATCATTCAGTTCAGCCACTTCAGTGTTACCAAATGGTGAAGGAATCGAGAACAAGGGGCAACACTAAGGATCATTTGGAACTTATAAATTGAGTAGTAGTACAAGAGCTAACATGCTCAATACTTTAGAAAACAAAATTTCCATTTTATAATGTCTAAGAGAAGAAAAACAAAAACAACAACAACAAATAATATAAAAGGAAAACCTTAAATTTCCAGGAAATTCTAAGCTTGCATCTGACAGTACAACCCATGCATCCTCCATAGTGTGCCTAGAACCCTTATCCTCTGCAGCATCTGCTTCAATTTTGCAGAACGACTCACTAACCACTGATAATGAACAATCTGGATCACATGAGACCTTATCTTCCAAGGGACCATTTTGCTTGCCCAGTTGATTGTCTCCTACTCCTTCCTTTGATACTTTGGGTTCACGATTGTCAATTTTTTGACCTTCAGATAAAACCGGCTGATTGTTTTCAGCTAAGGAAGTATCTACAATTTGTTCTGTCTTGTCCACAGCTTCTATGCTCAAGGCACAGATTTTGGACTTCTTCACAACCGTATCTGCATCATTGAAGTCGCCTTCACGCTTTTGATGGGACATGGCACTTAAATTCTCATCCATTGTGATCAACTGAAAAGTGGTGCTTATCAACTGCAAGACATCAGCCTCCTGAAAGTAACTAGAGATTCTGCAATGACATCATGAATTTTCATTGCAAAAGTGACTGCAAGAAAAGACAACAAAAGGGTTCCTGGAAAGGATGAAAATATAGAGCCGTGAGAAAAGGAGGCTGACCATTTTCAGACAGAAAAGGCAGGATGGATGAATGTTACTTACAATGTACAACAGTCCTTTCTAAAGGATACTGATCACAAAGAAGGTATTGCCATCCTTTCTCTTTTCTAGTTTTTTTTTTCTTTTTTGGTGGGGGTAATTGAAAACTTATTGTACAACCAAGGGAGGAAAATCAGAAGCTATGCTCATTCATATGTACAACCATCGAAACCACACCAAGGCATACCCATCCACATAGCAGCCATCAGAAGCAATGTTAATTCATACAATTTTCCATGAAATGCAATCAACCTTGCTTTGAGGGACATCATCCCCTTCGAAGTTTTCACTCCCTTACATATTGAGGTTTTCCCCTCCAACGTCCATTCTCAATATGTACTTCAGGCTCCGTTCGTTTGCAGTGTGAATTCATTTACACTAGTACAAATGCATGGGAGTGCAACTTCCGCTTCCTTTTTACTTCATCTGCAACAAGCGCAAAGAATCCTAAAACAAAAGTAACCCAGAATTTGCTCTGAACCCACTTGCATTCCCATACTTTTACACCAACGCAATTAAATAGCACTGCAAACAAACAAGGCCTTGGATTTTAACGTCAACTATAGAAATTAAAAACTAACCAGTTTCCGAGAATAAACAATTTTGAAGAGCACTAACATCTAACACGAGATGTTCAGGAATACATATAAATAAAGATGAATCATAAGATCGAATTCCAAATATTCCTGAGTACGATATTTTACACTAAAAAAATAAGCCAAAAACCATCCCCGGAAATCATCTTAATTCCTCTTTTTGTAGTCATAAATGTTCAGATGTTATGTGTGCGTATTGTCTGCTACAATTCAAATTAGATTGAGGAAAACTTCAGAAATGATGACCGAGACCAGTATGGAAAGATTAGACGATAACCAAACGAGCTAAAGCTGAAAGAAAACAGAAAACCACTAAAATAATAAAAATGAATGAACGAAGCGATTCAGACCAACCTCTACATTCAGATAATCAGATACTTAGAAGATGGAAGCTAAAGGAGGGGAAGCTTCGGTTTCTGGTGCTTCGACTTCGAGGGCTCAAAAGAATAGATCAAATGGTCAATTTAGGGGAAGGAGAGCGGGAATTCCAGGTGCGTCGAATACAATCGATACGTCATGGAGTCTCGGTTCTGTTCCGTCAGATGTGATATCTATGGTTATAACCCCATTATAACGAGACCGGATCTGCCCCTTACATCTGGCGCCTCACAAACTCCTCACGCGCACATCCTACATGCATGGTGGATGTGCCTGTGAGGCGCCCATTTGTGAGGAGCAGATCCCGACTCCACTATAACTATCAACCTTTTACTACGGAGCGCGCCCTGTGTGAGAAGCAGATCCAGTTGTAACAGGCCAAGTTATGTAGCCCGTTATACGATAGCTGTCGACGCAGCAGATTCCGATTCCCACTCAGCGAGTCCGTATCTCCTCGCACGTTCCAACGAAATTCTTTCCGCTTAGTTCCAACATCATACAGAAACGAATCCGAATCTGCTGACCACAATGCAATAATTAGGGTGCTCACGGTTCGGGTAACCGAACTGTGATCGTTTTTTATGTAGCATCAGTTTTTGGGAAATCAGTAATCGGAACAAATTGAAACTAGTCGGTTAATTAGTTGATCGGTTTGATTAATCAGTTTGGTTTGTTGGTTTTTCGGTTTTTTTGTTTTTATAATATTTATTATAAAAAATATATAATAAAAAATTATAAATATATAATATTATATTTTAAATAACAAATAATATATAATATATTATAAATATATAATGCATATTTATTAATTTATGATATATAAAATATATATAATATACATAAATATATAGAAAAACATGTATACCGGTCGGTTCGATTAACTGCCGATTTTTTATATTGGTGAACCGAAACTGAACTGGCACCTTCGATTTTTTAAAAACACCAAACCGACCAGTTTGGTTAATCGATTATTTGGTTCGTTTTCGATCAATTCGGTTTTTTTTGCTCACCCCTACAATGCATTGCTAGCCATGCTCACCAATCTGCACATCGAAAATATCGGTGATGCAAAGTTATCCTGATGTGCGGCTCGGTGAAGGTAGCTAACTAGCAATATGTTGTGGTCAACAAATCCAACTTGTCCTAAATGTATTCGAATGGTTTTTGTTGAGACCGAATCAACCCCCCACAACGTCCCACAACGCATCCCCGTCGTGTTTTGAGAATATCTCCCAATGATGACACCACCATTCCTGGTATTATCATCGGGAGATGTTCCCAATACACATGGGATGTGCTATGGGACGTTGTGGGGAGCTGTTTGGGGGGGGGGGGAGATCCGGAGTCTTTTTGTTCCCAAATGACTCTCAATCAAGTCTCAACATAGTTAGAAACCTGTTCCATATCCAGTCCATATTAGGTAGGAATAACTTTGTAAGCACGTTGAATAAGTATTTAGAAAATTTTTTGACACCTGTCCCTTAAAATGCCCCTAGCCTATCTTTGAAAAAGACTATAAACCACTTTTTGATAGTTGTTAGAATATTGATCAAATGCTCATTGTATATACTTACTATTTCGGAGTTGAGATTTTCTGCCAACAAAATACATTCTAACCCTCTACCAACTTGATCTAACACTGCACATTAAGTCTAGGTATGAAATGTGTGATGTAAAATCATGTTGGTAGAGGATTGGAATATCTTTTGTTTGGCAGGTGACCCGGACTCACTATATCGTGCCTACTAGATCCGGCCCCACTCCATCTAGTGTATTGAACCGAAATTGATTATGGGATAATTTATGCCAAACCCAAGATACCCAATATGTGTCACATCACTTCATTCATTTACATTATTACTAGTAAAATGGACCGTGCATTGGTATGAAAGTTTATATACCATTTAAGTCTTAAAACAATTATACAGTACCAGAGATAAAGACCATCCTCACAAAACACTAAGGGTCCATTTGGTTCAAAGTCAGAACCGGAATGGTCTATTCCCATAGTCAGTTTGGTTCAAACATGAATGGGAATGAAAATTGAAATCACCAAGAATGGGATTTCATTCCCAAGGGAGGGGCAAGGAATGTCATTCCAACAGGAATGGGAATGTGATTTCGATTCCACCCAACCAAAGGGTTGGAATCAGAATAGTCCATTTTGATTCTGGTTCTAGACCCCTATTCTTGTGAACTAAACGGGGCCTAAGATCTAAATTCATAACATGCATATAAAGGTGGTTGCACATGCATTAGATTGAAATATCCATGCACCAAATCAATGATAAAATTGCATTCAACATCATTACATACAAATACATTTTATCCAAATGAAACATTGAATTCACATAGAATTGATGGAGATGCCACTCTTAACCAATTTCCCTTTTTTTGTGGTTACCTAAAATCTATAAAAATAATTATTATTAATGGTTAGAAGAAAAGTAAACTATGGTAAACTTATGTTGATTTATTAAAGCAACCATCAAATAGCATGAATCATTGTCTAAGAATAAATGACATTACAAGGTTGAAAACCTTGGAGAATTGAATAAAACCCAATCTAAAATTTAGTGTTGAATTTCCAAATCAAAGAGAAGAAAGACAAGGTTTTCTTGTGTATGGTCAACAATGGCTTCTTACCCCCACCAAATAACAAAAGTTGAATGAAGTTGCAAATAGAGAACATTTGTTCACTTGCATCGAGTTTGTAAAAACAGGTGTTAGAATCGGGACATGTTGGAATAACAAAATAACTAAAGGATATAATTGGTATTAAAAATCAGGGTTTTTCAACCACACTAACTTAGGCATATATATATATATATATATATATATATATATATATATATATATATGTGTGTGTGTGTGTAATAGATATGGCAATTACGTCAATTCCTACCTTTTTTATTAACAAATGTGGATATATTTTGTAGGTGGCAATTTATGATAATAATAATAACTAGCAGAGGGGCCCCTGCGTGTTGCAAGGGCTTGCAAAAGGAAAATTATTGTATAGGGGAAAAAGGAATTTGAAAAAAAAGGTAAATTTTAATTAATTTTTGGAAAAATAACAGTAATTTAATTAGTGATGATTCATTAATTACGGTATTTATTAATTAGCAATGCCTATTATTAAATAGTATTTAATATTAATTAGTAGTATTTATTAGGCATTATTTATTGTTAATTACCAGTATTTAACAATATTTTAATTAGTAGTATTTATTAATAACCGTATTGTATTAAATAAACAATGTTTTATTAATTATTGTATTTAATAAAATACAGTATTTTATTCAAATCCGAATAGATTCGGTGTATATTTTTAATAATCATATAAAGGTTTGGATTTTGCTTAACTTGATCAGAATTTGATTTGATTATAGCCCATAAATAAGATGATATAATATGATACACGTGTTGTCTGAGCACACAAGTAGGGTGGTCAATGGGTTGGGTCCAACTCGACGGACCCGATGGACCTAAACTAGTTGGGCTAGTTTTAGTTATAGGAATTGGAACCAACAGGTCGATTCTGGGTCATGATATAGTGTCCCGATTATTATCGATTTGGTCCTGTCACAAATCAATTCAAACCCGACCTGAGCTATATACATAATATATAGCATTTAATATATGTTAAACATTTATTTATTTATTTATTATAATCAGGTTTATCGAGTCATACCCACTTGTCCCAAGAACCAATCGGTTCGGTTCTAGGTCTAAAAATTACAGACCCTATTGGGTTCGGGTCCTTGGTATTTCATGTCAGGTCGGTTCCAGTTCTAGCTGGTCTTGACCTAGACGCGACCCATTGACAACCCTACACACAAGAGAGAGATATTAAACATGTATTTATTTATTTATTTTTCATGATCAGGTATGCCAGGTCAAACATGATTGCCTCGAGAACCGATCGGTTTGGTTCTAGGTCTAAAAATTAATAACCTATTAGGTTCGGGTCCTCAACATTTCATGTCAAGTCAGTTCTGGTTCTAGATGGTCTCGACCCACTAATAGCCCCACACACGAGAGAGAGAGAGAGAGAGAGAGAGAGAGAGGTTATAACTTAGAAAAAAGGAGGGACTCAGTGCGAAGCATATAGTCCTATTTGAGAAGCTGAATAGTGGACTTCTCCTCGTACGTTCTAAGGGGAGCCACACACAAAATTATATATTTTCCTCGCACGCTCACTTTATAACCCACACATGGGATACCATTTTTTCAATATTGAATGCATCCACATATCCACATTTCATAATATATATTGATAATAATAATAATAATATGTTTTTAAACTATTATATACACTTTTTTATATTTTCTATGTGTATAAAATGAAATTTCATTCATCACACTTGTTTTTATTTAATATATATCATGAATATATGATATAATATATGTATCCAAATGTTTCTTACATTTTTTTTGTATCTTTTGAAATTTCGTGTGTTTTGCCTTTCGTATACCTTTTATTGTTTAATTATTAACTATGGCATGTCAAACACATTTGACCTCAATTGTCAAATTATTGACCCATCACCAAATGAAAAAAAAAATCCATTTATGGGGATAGTTTTAAATTTTGTACTTTATTTTCATCACAAAAAAGCAATTTTTATTTTTTACATTCATTTTTTCTTTGTTATATTTAATATAAAATATTAAACGTGTGCCCAAATATTTTCTACAAATTTTACATGACTTTTGTACTTTTTGTGTTTTATCTATTTTTTTAATTTTATTAATTAATTATGACAAGTACATCAATGGTTAATGATTTTGACTTAAAAAGGTCGAACCCTTGGCCTTCCACACCAAATTAATGAGAGTTAATACCTTAAATATAAAATTGACTAATAATGAATTAAATGTGGTTTAAAGTAGTAGTTCAAATTACATTTTGTCCAATAATAATCAAATTCAAAAATATGATGTTTTAATAAAACAAAAGTTCTACATTCTTGTTCATATTTTTAATAATAGTATAATTTAATATATGAATAATCAGGGGTGGAGCTAGAATTTTTTCTTGAGGGGGGCCAAAACCTAGAAAACATGGATAGGGGGGCCAAAAGTTAAGAAACATAGGTAAGGGGTCAAATATATAAGTGAAATTTAAATGGGGTTTTATGGGAATTTC